ATTGGTGGTTATGTATTCACTCTGTATTACCTTTATAAATAACAAGAGCCCTTTGCCCTTATTCAGTATTCTTTTGGTCATAAGCTAAAAGAAGTAAATCTTTAACATACAAGTCACAGTATCAAATTCAAATAATACCTTGTATTTCTGAACCAGAATTGTCATTACTCAATCGCAATTTTGTAATTTGAGTGAAAAATAATTTAAAGCCAGTTTTCCAGTGTGTGTGTGTGTGTGTGTGTGTGTGTGTGTATGAAAGAGAGTGAAAGAGAGAAAGAGAGACAGATATTCAAGTTGTAAAATGTAACTAGAAGTGTCTTTTGGTGTAGAAGAACTGTTATGAGCAAACTTATAAAGTTTGACTAACATAATAAAGCACTGTAAGAAAATTTCCAGTCAGCCTTCTAGATAAATAAAGAAGAGTCACAGGGCTGCAAGCTGGTGTTGCCAATATATACAACACTGATTTATAAGAGAAAGGCGATTAATTGCTTCACTGACACGGATTCATGTGATAGCTTCAAAGAAAAATGATGAGAACATTATGTCCTTATAGTCTAATGACTCTAGTCAGTCAGTCCTAATTCATATTGAATGGAGTCACTGAGGCCATTTATTAAGTTTCTATACTCCTTATATGGGGTAAAGAACAGTTTTATTAAAACTATGATGAATGAAAAAGATTTACATAAAGTTCTAATAGATAAAAATGTGAAAAAAATGCAATTTTGAAATGTACAATTAAAAATATAAGAACTGAGACTGACAGTAATTTTTAATGCATTGAACTTTAAAAGGAAGCAAAAAAAGAAAAGGCTACTTCACAGGTAAAAATACCCATGGGAACATACTTGCCCAGTTTTTATTCTGGCACATATGTATTGAATTCTGATCACAGAAGACTTGTTCAGGTTTAACCATTTGGAATTCAATGGCTTAGTTTTAATAATTGTCTTAATTATAACAACCAAATTTTACTGAATGCTTCCTATGTCCTTTGAGGCATTTAATTTTCCACACAGCTGTATGTGTTAGTCCATTTTCAATTACTCTAAGGAAATACCTGAGGCTGGGTACTTAGGAAAGAGCTTTATTTAGCTACAGTTTTGGAGATTGTACAGCATGGGTCAGCTCAACTCTGGCAAGAACCTCATGGCAAATAACATCACAAATGACAGAAGCATGTACAAGAGGGATAGATGATATCATCAGACAGTCAACCAAAGAGACTAGGGAGTGGTCAGGCTTATTCTTTAATGATGACCCTCTCACAAAAACTGACTCAGAGGTTCCATGAGAACAACATTAATCTCTCCAAGGGCACACCCACTTGACCTCCCATTAGGCTCCATCTATTAAAGGCCCACCACCTCCCAACATTGCCACACTGAGAAGCAAGCTTCAGAACCAATGCCTGACTAAATGCAAAAAGTACATACAAACTACAGAGCCATGTGATGTCAATGTTATTATGCATATTTAATAAAAAGTTTTAATGTCAAATTGCAGGCAATGTCTACTTTTGAAGAACTAGTTATGTGCATGCCAAGATGTACAGAAAAATTCTGGAAAGAGGAGGTAAGCACCCAGAGAACATGTGTCATGGTTTCCTCCCTTCTTTGAATAATAAACCAAAGATAATTCAGAGGTAAATTATTCAAACCACTTGTTTTTCAAAAGTACCTTTGCAATTAAATTTAAAAGCCATTTATTACAGTTTTTTCCATTTTCCAAGCTCTTACTGCTATATTGCATCTGTCTTTCTCATCTGGAACCTTTAGGGAAGTTGAGTACTGCTATCATTACATAGAAGAAAATGTTCCTGGATGATTAAGAAATACGGTGTCAGGCTCCTAAGTCTGTATCCTGGGTTGTTCCCTTACTAGCTATGTGTATACAAACAAATTATATGCATGTGTGTGTGTGTGTGTGTGTGTGTGTATATATATATATATATATATATATATATATATATATATATATACACATACATACATAAATTTGGATTGTGTATGAGGATTAAATGAAAAATTACAAGTAAAACATTTGGAACACAATAAGGGCTCAAAGGATTCAAATGATGTTATCTCTTAGTAAACCTGTTTTATAGATGAATAACCTAGTCACAAAGTCCAATGTCATAGAATGAGTTTCAGACTAAAAACTAGATTTTTTGTTCAACATTGTTACTTTTTCCCACTTCTCATACTAGCTGACCCTAAATATGATTAGTGTTTCTTGAGACAAACCAAGCAATTATTTTGAGGATCTTCATGTTAATATAAAATAATAATACCAACATCAAAAATAATAATAGCACCTAATATCACTTATTATGTGTTAATTGCTGTGCCAAATTTCTTACGCATATTATCTCATTTACTTCTCAAAACCTTATTAGATAGATGTTATTACTCCCACCTTTTACAGATGAGGAAGCTAAAGCCAATTATTTAAGTGGTCAAGTGGTTTCCCAAGGACCCACACCAAGTAAGTTCTCAGAGTGGAATCAAATTCAAGCAGCATGGCTTCAAAGCTCATGTTTTACTCATTCACTTTCACCTGTTACTAAATTAGGAAATTAACAGCATATCAACTCAAAAGCTGCATATACTATATTGCTCTCTACCACTCCATCATTAAAGAATTCCAAATGCAATAAAGTTTTGTAAATATATACTCCTATTTGATTAAAACCAGGGCTAATTTAAAGAACCCAGACACTTTATTTGCTTCTGGAGCATGCAAGATTAACTATTACCATATACCCAACAGTGGGGTTCATTAAATGGAATTAATTGCTTTCATGCCCATAATTAGAATATGCCTCTTATTTAAAGTTTGACAATCTATTTTGTTTGATTATAAGTCTTATTTTGGTATGTAAACTTCTGAATTTTCCTAAACATGTATAATTTATGCTTCTGAATTTTTCTTCTAGTTTATAATCTCAAGAAACAACATAGGTATGATATTATGTAAACTTTAATGTCTATTTTAATGCAAATTATATTACCTTAGATTATATCCAAAATCCTGTTACTAAGAATTTGCCTCATTATCTAAACATCATTTTTTTTAAAAGTGAAATATATTCCCATGCTTCATAAACTTTGTTTCCAAAGAATACTAATTTGAAGAACTGTTCTTCAATTTCTTTCTTATAGCTCATAATTATCATTCCCTTCATACAGAAAACCGTTAGGTACATTTTTATCTTCCTAGATATATTAATACACCTACAATAAAATACATTTATATATGTATATACAGAAGTTTCTCAACCTGTTTTTATATTTGTATACATTGTATGGTAGAATACATCATATGTGATTCAGTATCATGTATTATTTCATACATAATATATCATATATTATTGCAATTACTCTTGATTTGTACTAAAGAGTTCTTTATCTTTATTTGCTAGACATTTTTTTTAAATAATTAGATTTTTTCCAGTCTAATACCACTACAAATGATGTCCCAATGAATAATCTTTCTATGCATCAATGTACATGTGTGAATGTATTATTTCTAGAGTATAAATTACTAGAAGTAGAATGCACTTCCAAGGGTATTTGTATCTGCAATTTTGATAGATATTTTCAAATTTCTTGTAAATGAGTTTTCCGATTTATAATTATTTCTATGTCAGTTTTTACTTTGAAGTAGGGTGATATGTTGTTAACATTTTTTTTTCCTTAAATAAACTTTCATGTTGCACATTCTAGTGATACTGGCAGGTTGCTCCACACCAAAATTAACAATATAATTCTAGATTTTGAAAACACACTATTAAAATACAAATGATAAGAAAAAATTTTAACAGTTGCCTAGATCTGAAATTCCAATGTAGTTTTGGAGAAATAAGTTTTATTCATAATATATCATATTTATATAAATTTAGTTGTAGGAAAATCTCACTTGACCTCTATTAATTTATTTATATCTTTTCATTTAAAATCATCATAATATAGGGATGCAGCCACATTAATATTTATAGCAGCACAACTAATATTAACCAAGCTATAGAACCAGTCTAGATGCCCTTCAACAGATAAATAGACAAAGAAAATGTAATAAATTAGATAATGGAGTATCATTCAGCTATAAAGAACAACAAAATATTGGCATTAGTTGGAAAATGTATGGAACTAAAAATTATTATGCTAAATGAAATAAGTCAGATTCAGAAGGTCAAAGGTTGAATTTGTTTTCTGGTATGCAGAAGCAAGTCCACAATGAAGAAAAGAACAGAAAATTTTGAGTGATTTCATCAAAATAGAAGATCAGTGGAGCAGAGTAAGGGGGTTGAGGGGAGTGGAGAAGGATGGGAAAGGGAAAATGTGGAATGAATCTGACCCAACTTTCCTATGCAGATATATGAATATACTACAATGAATCTCACCATTATGAATATATGTTAGGCATTAATTTTAAAAAACTGTAAATAAATAGCAGAAAGTTCAGTAGAGTACAGGCAAGTGAATAGGAAGGAAGAAAGAGGAAAGGAAAAAGCAAGTACTGGGGACTGAATAGAACAAATTATATTTCATGTTTTTACAGTTATGTCAAAATGACTCCTAATTTATGTATAACTAAAATGAACCAATTAAAAATTTAATAAATTAAAGTTTTAAAAATTTCTCAAATAGTAGAATCCTTGACAAAAATTTCTTATAAAATCACTTTTACCACTTCCTTACAACATGCCATATGTCTTGACATTTCTTTATAAAAATTATGCAACAAAATTTTTCCCAAAACTATATAAGCTTAACAATATTGATCCAAATTTAGGGACTAGAAAACTGTGGCTCAGCAATATTAGCTAGCCCAAAGTAACACAACTAACAAGTACTGCTACTTAAGTAAACAGACACAAATTCTCACAAGTACTTCTCACAAATTAAGTAGAGAGGAGACATCATATAATGAATGAATTAAACATGCAATCCATGTATAATCCATGCTATAGCTGCCTATGGTGAATGGCTTACCTCAAAAACAAATGACAAGGCGGGGACAAGAGGCTTAATGTGACCGAATCTGTACAGCATCAGGATCACCAAGCAACGGAGAGTTTCCATAATAGCTGCCTTAGGTCTGAAATGACATGTCAATAACTTTCATTAGCTTTAGCTAAGCTCTTCATATGTATATATTATAATTAATATATAGATTGCATTTTCTTATGATTTTCAATAAATATGTAGTATTTTAACATATTTGAGATGTCCCTCTGAAGTTTTTTTTAAAAAATAGGCATTAAAGTAAAAAAGAAAATGTATTTTTTTAAGAAAAATCTCTTCTTTATCAAATTTTGGCTTAGTTAAAGCATTGATGGGTTAGGAAGAAGCTTATTTTCAGCTAAAATTAAAATATTAGACAATTAAATTGTAGAGCATAATGTAAATGAGTCCCCTCACGGATCCAGTGTCTTTTACTTTACATTAAAAAAAAAGGTTTCTTAGGAGAACTGACATATCTATCTATTCTAAAATAATGAAGGGTAGTTATCAAGGTTTCATGTTTATTTTAAAACTATATTAAAAAGTTACATAACATACTATTATTTTCATGGCTTTATGGAAAATTCTTAATTTTAGTAAAAGAGAAAAATAATGAAAACATTTCAGTTCTTACCTTTGATCCAGAAGAAATCCAATGGAGGTCAAGGTCAGGATGATGAAGAGAACCCTCAGAAGGAGAGTTACCTGTGATAGTGCCTGTAAACAAACACAGACATCAGTGGATCCTTCAGAAGAGTTATTAGAGGAAACACTAGGAGTTAAAACTTACAAGAAAAAAGCCCCAACTGTATTTTCTGTTATGTCATTTGTCACTTATTCTCTTCATGTAGGTTGACTAATAGAAGATATTTTGCTTTTCCTAATGTCACTTAGTTACCTTGTTGAATGTTTGGAGAATGAATCAGATAATTTCATAATGATATCTGTTTAATGTGTTCTTTCTACAAGTTCCCCTTTGAAGTTTTAATTTTTATATTATTTGAAATGTGTTAAACCCATGTGTCAAGAATTATCATTCACATTATTACAAATAAATGCTACATGCCAATAGCACCTCATTTTTTTTTCTGGTACCATGGATTGAACACAGGTGTATTAACCACTAAGCTACATCTCCTGCCTTTTTATTTTGAGCAGGGTCTTACTAAGTTGCTTAGGGCCTTGCTAATTTTCTGAGGCTTTTGAACTTGGGATCCTCCTGCTTCAGGCTCCAGAGCTGCTGGGTTTGCAGGCATGCTCCACTGTATCAAGCTCCAATAGCTATTTTTAATGTCACAAATTATTTGTGTTTTTTACATCCAAAGCTGTCTAATTCAGAAAATATTTAAAGGAGAATGCCCTTATGCATGAGAAGACATATTTGAAAGAGATTATATACATACAATCACTCATCTCTAATTAAATCTAAATATTTATATGTGCATATCAAAAGTTGCCTTATAAGTAATTGTCACAAAATATTTTACTATCAGACTTATAAATTATTATGCATTTTGTTTACATGTCAAAATCTAACAATAGTGAATATTGGACATCTGCTGTATTGCAGCTTCCTATACTGTGTTTCTTATACTTTAATCCTTTTTATGTACCCAACAATAATTCAGAGTAGGTGTCTTCATATTTGCCATATATATCTATATATATATTTTAAAACCTTGGAAATCAAAGGATTATGTAACTTTTCTATTATGACACAGAAAATAAGCTGTGCTTCTAAAATTCAAAATAGATCTGCTTGACCCTAAAGTATGACAACAATAGAATACAAATGAGTAAGAGACTTAAAGGGGTTGGTGGCAAAAATATTGTTATAGTTTAGATGTGAGGTGTCCCACAAAAGCTCATATGTGAGGCAATGCAAGAAAGTTCAGAGGATAAATTATTGGGTTGGGAGAGATTTAATTCAACCAGTAAATTAAAATCCCATAATGAGATTAATTGAGTGAAAACTGAAGGTCTGTAAGGATGTGGCTGGAAGAGGTGGGTACAAGGGGGCATGCCATTGGGGTACATATTTTATATCTGTCTAATGGAATCTCTCTGCTTCCTGATCATTATGTGAGCTGCTTCCCTCTATCACACTCTTCCACCATGATGTTGAGTCTCACCTTGAGCCCTAAAGAATGGAACCAACTGTCTATGGATCAAGACCTCTGAAACCATGAGCCCCCAAATAAACTTTGTCCTCAAATGTTGTTCTTGTCAGTTCTTTTAGTCACAGCAGCAGAAAAGCTGACTAAAACAGATATAAGTTAATGTTACATAGCCAATCTGTAGGGCTGGGTGAATACTGCTTCAGGTGAAAAGGGAATAAGTAAACTCATAGGTCCAGAAAGATTTCCCTAATCAGCAAATGTGCTTGAATTTCACTTTATGATAATATTAGAGATGTGATAGAAAAGATTGGTAAAATAGATATCTAAATATTTTTCAAAAACTTTTTCTCTTTTTTCCCCTAAAATAACTTTAATTTTAAATCATTAATAGCAAGTATCCCTACCTACAATTACAAATGTCCAGAATCATAAACAATATAATTATAATTATAAATAATTATAAACAATAAGCAAAAGCTGCTTGCAATTCCTAGTCACATGTAGTAATCTGGCTCCTTATTATCACAAACCAACCCTGTTTCTCATGGCTAATTTCCTGGGATGACAGCCAGAATTGTAAAGGGATTTTACATCCTCCAAAGCAATAGTTCAGTAGAAGAATATTGCTGAGTGGTCAAAAATCTAAATAAAAAGTGTCAGAACTTTGAGGGATATGGGTTATAGTAGGTGTCTGATACAGGGTGGGAAGCTCAATGGAAGTCAGAATGTCTAGGAGGAAGGCAGGAGAGACATATTTTTAGGTATGTGAAAGCTAGCAATAGCTGCTTTGGGACAGTAAAGCACAAATGAGCAGAAAAATATTTTCTCAGTGGTAGAAGTAACCAAGGTGTGCTGCAGTACACTAATGTTCAGTTAAGGGAAACATTTTGTCTTTAAAGAAAAACACTTCTTTCATCATATTGCTTCATTTTTATTTATAAGAGAAAAATCCATATGGAAGAAAATGGTTTGTGCCAGAAAACTATGGTATGATTGCAAATGCTTTATAAAAACATACGAATTTTGAGGGGTTGCACAAACCTATAGGCCCTGTAACCACAGGCAAATTATTCGACATTTCTAGGACTTGGATACACATGAGGTACATTTGAAATAAAATATGACTTTGGGAAGAACTGAAATAAAACATTGAGAAGAGTGCTTGGTACAATGAAAAAAGTCAATTAATGGTCATGATTACTATCATTGTTACTATGTTCAGGTGCTTAGGCTAATCTTAATTAATAACAATAAAATGGAAATGAAATACTTGAATAAAATGTTTTTTACCTCTTCCAAGTATCAAAGGAAACTCACAGAGCAGAATAAAATAGATCTTTTGTTATGGTTAGGAAATTTATGATCCATAGGCAAAAGAATGAACTTCTCTTTCTTAAATTGCTTCCTGACTATTGGGATCAGAGAGGAAACCAACTTAATGCAGAAGCTAGCTGCCTCATCCTGGGCTTGGCTAATATTCGTCTGAAACTTGGCATGTCTAAAACGCAGCATTTGTTTTCCTCCTCTATACTACAGGTTCCCCATTTCCCTCTTCTTAGGAAATGTCAACACCAGGTTTTCAACTACTCAAGACAAAAATCTGTGACTCCTCCTTGACACACACTCTCTCTCTTTCTATTTACCCCTGTCTATTTTTAACATATCAGAGATATATGTTGGTAGTTATTGAGTATATCTCAGTCAAAGGCAATTGGCATAAACAGCATAACTAATCCTCTGTTATCCCAGTATGATCTCCACCACAATTGTTGAAATATACTCCTAACTGGTTTTACCACTTGTGAAACTGTCTGTCCACCTATCCTTCCCAACCCCAGGGTGCCGAATTATACTTTCAAAGTGTAAGTCAGATCATATCATTTATGTTCTAATTTCTCTAGGGACTACAGATATCACTCAGAATGAAGTTCAAAGCCATTATTATGGCCTATACATACTCTCTTTTATGCTTAAGCAATATCAGACATTATGGTGCTCCTCAAACATGATAAGCATCCTCCCCACTCAAATCTATCTTACCTACTCTTCCTTCGGCTGGGAATGACTTTCCAAAAGAATCCTTATGGTTCATTTCATTCAAGTATGTATACAAAAGAATCCTTATGGTTCATTTCATTCAAGTATGTATACAAATGCATGCCCTTTTCCACCTTAAATAAACTAGTACTTCTTTATAGTTTCTATAAGCACCATGCTTTTTTTTTTTTGTCCTCCATATGAATTATCACTTCTACACACATTGTTCGTGCATTCTCTACTTGTTGGCCATAGAGATGAAAACTCCATGAAAGCCTTTATTTCTCTTTCTCTTTTCACAGTGGTGGGGATCTAATCCAGGACCTTGTACATGCTAGGCAAACATTCTGTTGCTGAGCTACACCCCCAGCCCAGGTTTGATCTCTATTCGCTGTTGTATGCCAACTGCCTGGAACATTGCCTGACACATAGTACCTAATATATGTTTGTTCAAAGACTGAGTAAATAATTTGTATTTTAATAATAATAATTTCATTAAAAGTGGAATTCATCAATAATTTTATATTATATTTACTCATAAAATTAATATTTTGAATCATTAAGTTTTAAAACAAATTAATCACCAATTTATCATTAACATATTAAATGATCTTATATGTTAAATATTTAATGTTAAATAACTTAACTTTTATTCATTCAATCCCACAAAGAACAAAATTGAAAAAATAGTGTTTGAAAGAATGGAAAGAGGGAATTCAATACAGAACACATGTGCTTCCTTCAGAGAGTCCATTTTCATATTAAACTCAGAGCATGTTCAAACAGCATGCTTTGACTGATTAATAAGGATTAGTTGATTATGTATTTTATATGTATATGTGATATATATGCATAAAATATATTCAAAGAACATTTATTGAACATGTGTTGGGTTCTATGGTAAATATGAGTTTAAGAGACTGAGCAAGAAGAACAAAATCCTTGCCCTTGAAACCAATATCACCTCATTCCTCTACATAGAATCACAGGTCAGCTACAAAAGAGCAAAAAGTGGAAAAAATAGAACTTATTATCCTTGGCCACTGTAAATATTTATTCTTATGCATTCAAAGAGTTTGTTCAATCAGATATAGCTTATGAGTTTTTCATAAAAAGAAAAAAAATTATTTTTTATTGGGTTGACCATGATTTCATATCATCCGTTGCTTATTTTTCATATCAAATATGTCTGTCCTAAAGTGCTAAAATGGAATGATTCTACATTGAACTCAGTATATTATTAGGCCTTATCATAAAGAGCATGATAAATGATATAACCATAAAAATTTATTGTTCAATATTTCCATGTTACCTTTCATTAAATAATAAATTTAAAAATTATTTTTAAAACTTTATGGTGAATGGAATTATGTTTTCCCCTTTAAGATACCAAGCATTTTCAGTTAACCTTTCTTCAATGATTTTTCCAGTGAGAGAATGTAGTCATAAATATGCCAAAAAATACTACCTACCTACCCTTTCTTCAAATAGATGTAAAAACATACACAGGGACTTCAGAAATACATGAATGATGATGTAATGTTGCTTAAACAATTCATG